TTCCCTCCTCTTAGTTAGGCCCTTATCCTTCCACCTGTCTTAAATCAAAACTGATTTTTGTTCATTGTTTGGGAGTTAACAATGCGCTAGAAAGTTTGCTTGTATATTTGAAAGCCTTTATAACTTCTTGTTCTTAATAAAATAGGTTTTTCAACCAGTTGTATGCATACTGTATACAGCCATCATCAAATCTAGGTGAGAATCGAGAAAAAAATAATAGTTACCCTAAAACTAACCCATTTCAGACCTCAATATGTTGTAATCAGTGCCGCCGCCCCGTTCCCCCCAACCCACGTTTAGCACACCCCTGGTCAAGAACTTTAAAACTTCCTTAAGTTTCCAAGGGCCAGGGGTTTCCCAGAGAGTTCACGTTGTTATCCCAAATTAAAACTGGTGTAATAAGAATGAATTCTGATTATTCCAGTCATGGTAATTTGTTTTTCCGATTCCAAAATAATTTTCTACATGCCATCAGCTTTAATCAAAACAAATACACTGCGGACTAAGTAACCTTGCGGAAGAGAGCTCGGGACACTTGCACAAGCTGATAAAAACATCGTTGCTTTTCCACGGTACCTACATTTCGGCCACACTGTTCAGATGATAAAGCTTACCTCATTTTGAACAATCTGAAGAGGATCGGTTAAGTCATCCGATGTTATTTCCCCTTTTAAAATCTTCTCCAAAATGGTGTTCATGTTGCCGCCTCCATTTCAAATGAAACGCGCTTAGTTGTCGTGCGCAAGATCCGGGAGATGGAGAGCGTAAAATTTGGCGCGAAAACCAAGCCAATAAGCAGGCTGATCATTCGTTCTATTTCAAATAACGATACCGTTGACCTTTTCACTTAGCCATATATTTCGTTGAGGGAAGAGTGACAGACAAAAAAATCGCAATTTAAGATGTCCAAAAGGGAATTTCCTTTCGATCAATCCTGTCCAATGCAGCTCAAGACTCATGTGAACACTACTGAATTTGAGAAGTCAAACAACATGGAAAACGTTTATGGTAGGTACCTGACTGAATTAAAATTGTGCAAACGGCTTTAACATGGCTTTTTAAAATCGGTTTCGATCTAAAATAATTTCTGCTTTTGAAACACTTTCAGCGAAAACACTTGAAGCTTTGCGAGAAGGAATGGAGCGATACGAGAATGGTGAAATTGAGGAAGGAATATGCAATGAAACCGTCAACTGTGATCGTTGTCGCCAAACGAAGACTGGTCGCGGTGTGAAGTGTGCGTTCTGTGAACGGAACGCATGCGGCGATTGCAGGCGAGAGTGTGTACACTGCGACAAGATGTTTTGTCTTTTGTGTTTGGTTGCCAAGTAAGTTGTAGCTAGTTTTGGTCTGATGTTCTTACTAGTAGTGCATTTATTATTTTGAACAAATAATTACATTACAAATATCAGATGGTTATGAACTAGTAAGAATTTGTTTTGACTTTGCTTAATTTTATTTTGCCTTCTTCGAGTTGATTATCAGGGACTGTTTGATCTCTTATGACATGTATGATTTACAATCTATTCCAGCGTCCATGATTTTAAAATAAGTAATCCGTTAAAAACTATTCGATTCAAAGTTCAAATGTGTAACCGTACGACGGAAACAAGTAAACGATAATTCACACTTTGAAAAACGGTTTCAAAAGCATTTTACCCTGATAGGTTTGTTAACTGTGCATTATAAGAAACCCTGTGGTTATGAAATGTTTCGTTTCCCATAACCCAACCTACCCATTTCTGGAAAAGTAAATACAGAAAAAAAAACTGGCACACTCTTTGAACAGCAAAATTTCAATTGTTGCAATATAATGGGTCAATCAATTTGAAGAACACTGCCCATCCCTCACGCCCCCTCTCTGGGCATTTGAAATTTTAAAGATTGGTATTATACAAATTCCTGCACCCCCTGGGCCAAAACTGCATTCAAATGCCTTATCTAAGAATATTTTTCATTTAATGATTCCCTGTGTGATCAACTAATATTGTAGAATTTCTCAAAATAATGTATTAGTTTTTGGTGCTGGGGCAGGGGTCAAAATCAAATACCAGTGGGTTATCTGAGGGAGGGTGGGGGGTGTTGAAGCTTTGAATTGATTGGCCTGTAACTTAAATTCAAATTCTCTATTCTATTTCAAAGAAGATTATTGAGACTAAATTTTCAATGGAAAATGTTTATGCCGAATTTCTTACCAAAATATTATGTTGAAAATTTTCTTATTAAGAAAAAAAGCTACCAATCAAGCCTGTACATTCAGATTTATCTTAAACTCAGGTTTCCTTCATCAGTTATCACTTTTATCTTATGTTACTTTTTGTCCAATGGACCAACCAAATTTGACAAAAAAATGACACAAATGGGTTTATGAAACATTTGGTAGCAATGGCCTTAGGTTGGTGGAGATACTGACAAGATTTTCATTTCTTTCTAAAAATTCTGTATATTTTCCTCAGACTTTGCAAAAAGAGAATTATTGAGGCCCATTAACCAAGAATAATGATACTGCCCATTGCTTAAACCCTTTAACTCCCAAGATCTGATTGTTAATTCTCCTCTCTAGCTACTACACATTTCCTTGTAAATTAGTTATGGGAACTTGGTGTGAGATCAAGATAGCAGCTTCTACCTATACCTGATAAGTTTGAATAATCTCATCACCTGTTTGCTGGAGAATGTATGGATATTATAGTGAGAAGTTTCATGTTAATCACTTCTGGGAGTTAAAGGGTTAACCAAGGTTTTAATTGGAGCTTTACCTCATAATCATAACACGAAAATGTAATTTACATTTAATATATTTTATTTTCTATATTATTTGTACTTATTTCATTTTCATAACTTTATAATTATTTATCTATTTTTTAGCTATGACGAGAGGTATGAACGATATTTTTGTCTTGGAAATTTGCCTCAGAGAGATGCTGGAATACATCATATCTAAAAACAAAACAAAAGCTGATCTTATATGCTGAGGTACTTCATGGTAAAAACCATTGATCTGTGAAGTTGATATAATGATATACAGCTTGGCATTTGCTCTGTTATGCACTTGGTCTGATTTTGTGTGTTGAGTGTTTAAAAAAAACCACCTCCTCTCAATCATGTTCCACATTGTAATTAAAGACACTTCTCGATGGTTTTCAGGCAAGATGGTCTTGTCTTTTTGGATAACAATCAAAAAGGACTGTTGAGCTATACTGCACCTTCAAACTGTGAATTTCATCAAGTAATGGGAAGTTTTTTGGTCTTTGTTGAAGCAAACACTGTCAGTTTTGAGTTAGCTCGTGACAATGAACCTTTGTTACTGTTAAACACAATAAATTTATCAAGTATGACAAGGTCTGTGCTATTTTTATTTATTATCTCATTTAAACCATGCTGTCACGTAGAGCTTCAGAGTGTGAGCAGTTTTTCTATTTTCCAACACTTCAAACCACACCATCCCTTCACTATAATATTATTTTAGGATATGTTGTGAGCTTCTGAATAATTCAACCATACCATTTCTTCCAAAAGAGATTATTTTAAGTATAGATTGTGAACAATGTTTTTCAATGCAATGTCTTCACTTTTCAATAAGATACCTTCACTTTCTGCTAAAGGGCTTTCAACAGCACTTTGTCACATGACATCCTTTGACTTTAGACAATACCTCAGCCAGATTCCAAAATTGAATTTCTCAGAAATGAAACTTCTGACTTAAAATATACTGCCATGCAAGTTTTTTCAGGGTCAAGAAAAAGACTAAGTAAAGAATAGATTAAACAAGTTATATATACTTGGTGGGGGGGAGTTAGAGATAATTTGCTTTAATCAAATATATTAATAATATGAATTGGCCACCCTAGAGAGAATATAAATCTTTGTTTCTTTGTAAGTTTTACTGCAGCAAAAATTTTCCTATATACATTGCAAGACTGAAACCATCCATCCTTTAATATTTTCATCCTCGTTGACTATACTTCTAGTAATTTTTCTAGTGACCATAAGTATAGGGCTAATTTTCGTGATCAAGTAGAAGTGGAAATTTTATCTAGTAGGTGAACAGTTCTCGATGTCAACAAAGGTATCAAATTTTCGAAAGAGTCGTTAAATCTCGACTTTCCGTTATTCTTTCAAATATTTTTATTCTGGCTTAATGGAAAAGGAAGTACAGATTTCAAATGTTCGATCTTCGATCACTACTCATTTTGTAAACACTCGCCTTCTCTCTCCCTCATGGGATAAAGAAACAATACCCAAGGGACGACGTTGATTAACCCGCAAGAATGGCACGTTTATTGCTGGTCACGTATCGTCGAGAAATATGTGGAATCTTCCCCGCGATTGACTGTTCCCTCCATTGCTATTAATGCACCGGAAACTGTTTTAAAGAGCGGGAAGACTGGGTACTATAGTTCTAGAAATTTCCGGAGATTAGGAGACGTTGCTACATCTAGAACAATGCACCTAAATTTAGGGAAATGAGGTAACATACAGTATAAATACGACTACCCAAAACAATGATCTAGCAGTTTCATTCTAGTCAGACTGAAATCAAGCGGCCGTCCATCGATAAAAGTAAGGATAATTAAAGGAACACGTCGTCACAAATATGGACAACGAAGGATTGATTTGTGAAAACTGCGACAGACGAGTTCCCTCAGAAAATTACGAAATGCACTTCGTGCACTGCAAAAGAAACCTCAAATTGTGTTCGCTGTGCGGAGAAGCGATACAAAGAAGCAAAGAGAGAGAACACTTTGAGGAAAATCATGCGGAAATAAACTGTGTTCAGTGCGGACAAAAAACAACGAGAAGTGAAGAAGGCAATCATTTGGCATACGAGTGTGGAAAGCGACCAATTACTTGCCATTATTGTGAACTGAGGCTACCCAGAGAAAGAATGTCAGAGCACCAGGAATTTTGCGGATCCAGAACGGAATTCTGCCACAAGTGTAGTCGATATGTCTTAGTTAGGGACTTTATGGACCATGATAGCGCATGCGACGGGGGAATGAACGATCGGCAACACGATTTGCCTGTGTCTTTGCCTTGTGAATTCTGTGGATCGCTGATTCAGCCAGATGAACTTGATGCTCATCAACGTGAATGCCAGCGTCTAGAGGAAACAGAAGGTTCTCAAATCCCTCTCGTTGTAGAAGATAGCGATGGTGTGTTTCGTGAAATGGTACGAACGCCTGACAATTTCACAAGCTCGGACTCGTATGACGATATCGAAACCGAAAGTGAAGACAACAGCATTGTTGCTCTGCCTTGTGAAATCTGTGGCGAACTGTGTCCGTCTGATAAATTGATGGAACACCAGGAACAATGTATCCTAGAGGGAGAAGGCGTTCAGGGTTCTGGTTCACCCTCCGAAAACGAAGAACCTTTGCACAGAAGCGATCGACCTCACTTCCGGTTCTCGAGACTTCGTCAGAATCCGATGGACAATGGAAGAGAAGATGACCCCTTCACTTTTGCGAATTTTACAATGGAAGGAGTCCCTTATGATTTCACGGCAAACATTTTCCGCGACCTGGAAGATCGACGATGGCCATTTGAAATGATGAGGAATATGTGGTCGTGAACTTGACCGACAAAATTGATTATGTAAGAGCTGAAATATGCAAATTTAACCAGTGTTTGTGTATCTCAAGTTCGAGTACAGGTATAATTTTTTTTTTCTTGTCGTGTTTTTGAAAAAGTAAGTCAAAATAGAAAACATTGTAACTCGAACCTTTTCAATACGGTTTGTTATTCTACTTCCTTTTTAATACCGAATGTTTGTATGAAGTGGGTTTCGGAGCTTCTAAAATATCAAACTGAGTACTGCTTGGTTGTATTTGAATAAACACAGTAAATGTCAAACCTCAACGCGTTCACCGCTTCTGTATCTAGTTACTGTAAGAGGCGTTAAAGAAATAAACCCCAACATTTTTGTGATTTATAAGTTTATTTTTACATTTCACGTGCTTTGTGAATACAAACTGACTACACTGGCATTAAAACAAGTCTGCGACAACTTAAGCAATAAATAGCACCATCTATCAACTAATAAGCGTAATAACCCATGCGGGAAGTTAAAGAACACGAGAAAAGTCTGTAAAGCCGGTAAAACAATAGTAAGTGTGGTCTATTCCATGGGTTACAATATATCTGGAGCCTAACAGACAATTTCGTTAATTGCTCCTCAAAAAAGGTGCGCATTACAACTATTCTAATTTTTAATGACCACAAGTGCCCACATATTTCCTAACATACTCGGTAATATAGAAGGAACGAAAAATTGCATAATCCGAAGGATCGTTATCGGCAACTAAAGAGCGTGCTCACTAAAGCTAAAACTATTGAAGACTTGTTGCCAGCTAGTGTCTATTTTACTATCAAATCAGTGCACTCACTTAATCGAAAAAACAAGGTTTGTTGTCGTGGTCCCACAGGAGTGCTGTTTTATACTCAGGATAATGACTTTACGCACAGGAACGCAGGAGCTACTAAAAAATTATCTGGTGAGAGAAAGAGTAAAATTTGTTTAATATGCCACAATGCACTTTTCCAGTCTTTCATATTTCAAAAAAGTTATTCTGAGTAGCACACTTATTTGGCGCGCGTGACCAAGAAGAGATTTATTTTCATTTCCAACCATAAAAGCGGTTTTGAATTGAGAGGCATTCCCGCGTCCGCTAAAACAAGCTCAGATATAAGAGAAGAAGAATATGATAGAAAGTGCGATGACAAAAAATAAAAAAGGCATTATCATACAATTGTCTTACTTTTTTACGAAAAACGCTCGTCTTGTTCTTGTGGATGTCGTCTTCTTTCGATTACACCGCCGGCATTAATATTTCCTTGTTGTTCTGTCATTTCCACAGCCCCGCTACGACGAGGAGTGGGTTCCCTGGCTGTTCCTGAGGTATTCTGATAATGAATGGTTCTGGTGGGTTCCGTAAGAGCTCCTTGATTCGCTGGTGCTTGCATGTTTCTTACCATGCGGAGGAGTTTGATAATACAACACGTTACCACAATCATCCAGATGAAGTAAGCAGCATTAAGTGGCTCAGTCTCCATGACAGTTCAGTTCCTGCGGCAAATTGACAAAAGCCTCTAAAGAAGAGCCCGGCAAGGAAATTAAATGTTTTTTTTAGTAAAAAGTAGAACTTACTTATTCACTAACTCTCTCTCTCCTTCAGATACACGAGGTTTTTGTGTTTATAGGCAAAGGCCGAGTCAGTTATGGTTGCAAACAGATCGAAAAGAAGGATTTAATAAGTATGATCACCCTGCGGTAACGAACAAATGGTGTCATGTTTTCCCCCCTGACCAAACAATTGAATAAAACAAAGGAACAGCTCACGTCATCATTGGTAGTTTCGTTTTCATTAAATGATGAGATACAATCCCTGTATGGTTCTCCATCCTTGAATGAGCAATTACACCATGTAAATCTCA